TCAGAGCACTGAAAACTTGATTTCAGCCAGCTGGCAATTGATTCAAACATTAACTCTATACGGATGTTGGCCAGTTAATAAGCGGAAGGTCCGATGAAATGACAGGACTAAGAACTAATTAAACAGGAGGAATCCAAGGTTGTGACAGCAATCAAATGAGAGCTGGTTTAGAGGGAAATCTGAATAAAATGCCACAACAAGGGAAGGATGGAACTGAGATCCCCATGAGAGGCTACCAGGGGCAGGTTGACACAAGATTTGGTAGAAGGAACAAGTCCAGAGAGAAGAGGAGCTCAAGTCCTTGTTCGCATTTGGAAGCCAGTGGGAAACACTGTGGTTTGGGAATGGTGAAACATGCTGCATCATAAGGCAGACAGGAGATCTCTGTGACCTTCATTTCCATGAAGAAGAAATCTGTTTTACCAACAATCCTGTGTAAGTACAGCCTTCACTTGCTGTATGAGTATAAATGGGGTTAGAATCAGTTTAGGAAGATATAATTTGGTTTTAGGGTTGGAATTCAGTAGGAAATTTGCCAAAGGCTGGGGAACTTAGTCACTGGAGAAATGCTGGCAAGGCTTTATGGTATCACCAGTTCCTTTCCTATGGGTTGGACAGGTAGCAATAAATCTGTACAGGAAATGGGGAAACAAAAAGGGCAGAAGGAAAGTAAAAACAAGAACAAAAACACCAAGGGCCAGCATTGCTTCAAGCATCAACCCAAATATTTACACACACACACATTTCCTCTGTGCTTTCCCTTCCAGTAATTACTCAATCTCTGCCATTTGCATCTCTGATCCCTTCCCAGCAGCATCCTCTCCTAAAGCACCCCAAGTGTAAGGTGACTCTCCAAACCAATGGCCCATGAAGAACACACTCCAACACTCCTTGAAGGAACAAGCTTTGAAGGAGGGACAAAAGGATTAGAAAGAAGGCTGCTGTCCCCAAACCACAACAAGCTTCACAGGTCCTAAAGCAACTTATGGGAAGAAGTAAAACCAGAAATATACACCAATAATTCTGAGCACATCACTGACATCCAGGAGACACAGCTAGAATTGGCAAGCCTCAGAAAACTGGTCAGCAAACATCACAACCCTACTCTTACATGGCATGCAAGCAGTGCTCCCAAATGGACTCTGCCAGACATGAATGGATCGTATTTGCCTTCTGGCAAATGGCACTATTAGCCTGGGAGCAGTTGGGGGCAGGATTTGCCTTGGGATGGCATCTGCCATGGCACTCTCAGAAGGCAGAGCAGAGGCATTGTCCACCAACATATGCTATGAAAGTTAATGTGGTGTTAGCAGATGAGGTGTGGGGCTGGTACTGTCTTTAGTCCACTCTTAGCTATGGAAGCTCCAGGAGTGACTCTGGGCACTCTCTCAGTCCAACCTATCTCACAGGAGTTGTTGTAGGGAAAAAGGAGGGGGTGCTATGGATGTTGCTTTGGGCCGTTGAATGAAAAAAGTGGGATATAAATCTAAGAAATAAATCCCCATGGATCTTAACAGATATTATGAAGAATGTAAGGAATCACTTCTGGAGCTAAATTCAGATTTACTTCAAAGATGGCATATACATGTTATCTTGCTATCACAAAATCAAAAGCTCACTCCACTACGATGTGGAGCAGTTGAAGAAGTGCTGCTGTGCAATGTAGAGGATACAGTCTGGATGTCATATGTATGGTTCCTAAGAATGATGGGGCAAACTGACAACTCATTTACACCTTCTTTCAGGATGCTGTGTGATCCAGAGAACACAGCAAGGCTATTGTCACAGAAACGGATGACCCATTTGAGATGAGAAGGTACTTTCCTTCCCTTGATACCAGGACTGGGCTTAAAGTTGTACTTCCATGTTTTATAGCTTCCTCCACCTCTTTCTCCCTTCCTCGTCAGAGTCTGAATGGAGGCATCTGCTCTCACTGGAAGTGACCTATAAAGGATTGTGGACAATGGCTGAGGATACTTCCCGAAAGCCTTGACAAATAGGTAGGGGCTTTCATTATCTCTTGTGGGAGGCTGGGGAGGTATGTCTACAGGGCTACTTCCTTTCTCTTTTCTTTTATGTGATGAACACTTCTTCAGTGCTCTGCTGTTTTCACGCATTGCATGTGTATGTGTGGGAAGGCCATTCTGTGGATCCACATGCCTTGTTCCCATAGCTCTTGGCTGAGATCTGACCTCAAGGGGACTATCTCCTTGTATGAAGACTTTCCCCCTCATTTATCTCTTGACATTAGCTTAGTGATCCAATAGGCTCAGGGTGCAAAGACATGATGTAGCATTTAACACTTGGAAGCCTGTTTTTATATAATTTTGAAACAACGAAAAGAAAGGAAGCATATTAGGTGTCCTTGAAAACCTTCTCTTGGCACAATTATCTGTTTGATTTCCTTTAAGATTAACATACATGCGGATATATACCATTTTCAAATATATAAATAAATAGACCCACCATCTCTGGGCTGCAAAAAATCTGGACAAACAAACATTTCTAGCAAACAGATTATGATACATTTGCTGCAATAGATTTGGTAGATTTGGTAGACCTTGGTAAGGAGTGAGAAGGGAGATAAGAGCAAAGGCTTTAAATAAATATAGCAAAAGGATATTGCAATGCTGCATCCATGTGCTTATGTTTGTGCTTATGCATGAGCAACTCTGGGTGTGTGAGAGAGGGAGAGAAAGAGAGACAGAACATACCATCCCAGAGGCTTCCTATTAACATACTTTTTTACACAAATCCTTGCCTCAGACATTTCTCTCTCTCTCTGGCTTCAAGAGCGCCCCCTAGCGTTGTCTTGAAACAAGAACACCAAGAAATATTTTTCTCACATATTATTAAGCAACAATAGGAATAGAATGAATCATGTGAAAAACTGCAGTTTTCTGCAGTTTTAAACAATGGTTTCTTCTTCCTTTCCAATTTCCAGTCTGGTTTACCAAGCTTAACCAAGACTCTGTAGATCAGGGTTTCCCAAACTGTGAGATCTACCTCCCTTGGGAGGTGCAGGCAGAGTTCAGAGGAGGTGTGAAGAACCTTTTAGTTACATTGTTACAATAAATCCATGTTTCCCAAAATATCATTGTATCCTTTTCATTGTTCATTTGTGTTCATTTTGGTGTTTGGATTTTTTAAGGGAGGTGTGTTGTTGTTGTTGTTCAGTCATTAAGTCGTGTCCGACTCTTCGTGACCCCATGAACCATATTGCGC